GTTCTATCCCGCTTTCTGCGAGCTCCGACATATACATAATGATCATCTGAAATGAAATATAGAAACTACAGTGTCACGTGTACTGATCCATGACATATCTATAAAAGAATTACACGGAACACGCTAGAGTTAAGGGTGTCTAATGAGTTTTACCTTTCACTAATTTCTGTTTTTAGACGAGATTAGATCTATGACGTCTATAAAATAACCCACCTTGATATTGTTGATAGTGACCAGGGAAGCGTATGCAGTAATCATAAAATCAAGTACAAACCATCCAAAAATTTGAGGCTCTCATTTCACAGACTGCCGTTGTTGACAACAAAGCGAGTCAATATAATATAAAATTAACTTACGTGTGTAAAGAGATCTGAAATTATTAAAATCTTGTTGAGTATATACCGATACTAAATGCCCGCCGTCTTGTTGACATCTTGTGTTGCCATCCTCCCATGTTTGGGCCATTGAAAAATATTTCAAACAGTATTTTTGATTTGGAAATATGGTGTATCCTTTCTCCGTACAATAACTTTTGTCTGAAATATACATTATTCAAACGCCTCAGGTAATAAAAAATAGATCTGAAAATTAAAGATAACAAATTCATTCGTCTAAAGATAACAACATAATTAAAAACCAATCGAAATAATTCAATAATAGAACAATTACGGTAGAACCTCAAAGAACGTTATATCACTAAAGTCGTAAGTCGGAATGGTTGAGAGTTAAAATGGTCACAGTCGGAATGGTCACGAGGTAAACTGGTCAGAGTCATATGGTCACAGCCGGATATTCAAAACGTAAAATGGTCATTAGGTAAATTTGTCACAGTTGTATAGTCACACAAGGTAAAATGGTAAGGTGAATTGGTCGTCAAAGTCGTATAGTCACAAGGTAAAATGGCTACAGTCGTAAAGTCACAAAATTACTTGTCCACAAGGTAAACTGGTTACAGTCGTATAGTAGTATTAGCAGGCGAGCAACTAGCCCATTTCGCTCCATACCCAGGCGAACACAACTTTATTATTTACGTTCTATACAGAGGTCATAACGACTTACAATCTAGACATAAAATATCCCACATTTATTATTGATTCTACCTCGTCATAGACTACGTCACTACGTAGTCACGTGAGAAGCGCCAAAGCTGTAACCGTCAGTGTGCTCTTAGCTGTCGAGTGGTGTAGACGTCTATCTATACTCTCGCTCCGTCAAACATTCACACTTTTAAACTTTGTGTTTCTAGTAACCAAAGTTTGTTTGAAGATTCGTTGACTGATTGTCCGAATCATTCCTGTTAACAAATTCGATTGTATTTCATCGAATTGCTAGAATGGCGGATGGTTTTAAAAATCCCGTCTTGGCGTCTGCTTCTGATTTAGACTCCGATGATTTGTCTCGTGGTACTCAAAAAATGGCTTCTACTAAGAAGATAAATAGTAGTCAGTTGAGCCTGCCTGGAACTTCGAAATCAGAGATTACTTCTTTACAAGTAGGGAACAATTTTCTCAAGAATATTGAGACCAGTATGGACCATATCGCACAATTTATGGAATCCATGTATAGCGACCACAAACTATATTGGTTTTAAAAAAAAAGTAATTATTCTAAATATCAATTTATCTAACGGCATAATAAACAGTCACTAATTGCTGTCAATGCATAAGAAAGTCTCCAGCCACTACTAATACTATCTACTACTTCTAACTTGGCTTTTATGAGGCTCTTGATGATTGACTGAAATAACAATAATTTACACTATTTACAAACAAAAATAAACTATTTACCATAAAACTTAAACACTTACAACTAACGTCACTATGATGGCTTATGTTTATATCTTATGCGCATGTCAAACCGGAAGTGCTAATTTCTGTGCGGGGACTGGTTTTCTACATTTTGCATACGAATCTGACGTTTTCATTTACAATACATACATCTTTAAATGGAAAAAATATTAAACTAGAATATTACCGAATTTTTAGGCCTATTTATCCCAAAGCGGTCCTTGAATCTTTACTAATGCGCTAAGCCTATTTTGACCTTCTTGTTCTTGACCAAGCAATGACGTCTGCAAACTATGACGTCAGTGACCTTGAAACTAGACTCGATTATCACACATGAAGACTGTGTAAATTCTAAAGGAAGATAACCACGCAGTAAAATTAGGCTGGCTCCGGGCAACCAGAATTTGGCGTAACACCATGAACGAGGCCTTTACCGGACTTGCTGAAGAAAAACGAAAGCTCCCGGAGGAATTTATCATTCCCAAGAAGAAAGCCCGTCGTCGAGTGTCTGACACTTCTTCAGATGAGGCTGAAAAATATTTTATTGCCATGGCTAATGTTAATCGGCCAAAGTCCTATAAAGTTCCAGATAAGGAAAATACAAACCGCTCCCAACTTGACGAAGGTCAAGGTGACGGGGGTGCCAGTAGTAGTTTCGATAGTTTTCTTGACAACGTTGAAGACGAGCTACAACTTTGCTCTAAATCAGGACAGAAAATCAATGATAAATTAGCCAAGTTTGTCACTAAACGATTCGAGACACGACTATCATTCGACAAACTCAAAGAACGAATTGATAAATACAGTATACCCCGTAATTGCGAGGGTGTTTATGTGCCTGAGGTAAATTTACCAATCAAGTCGAAGCTCAACCGTTTTATCAGAGGTTTGGATACTTGCACTTCTAATATACAGAGAACAATTGTTACGGCAAGCTCTGCTGTCATTGAGTGTCTGGAATTAGTATCTTCAAATATGGTCGCTATGAATGGTGCTCCTGAACTTGTCTCAAAACTGACAGATGCTGTGAGTATGTTGGGGCATGCCAATTATGACATTTCTTTGAGAAGAAGAGAATACCTTCGGCCTTACATTCAAGATGATTACAAGCCATTATGTGGACATATGGTTCCTGTAACCAAACTACTTTTTGGAGACGATCTTCAAAAAGAAATGAAAGAAGTTCGTGAAACGAATTTGATAGCAAAAACTGTCAACAAATCTATGGGAAATTACTCCTCCTACAACCATAATCGATTCGACAATAGTAAAAGTCATCATGGTGCCAGTGGTGGATATCAGAAATACCCTTTTCGCGAAAGAGGTCGGGGGAACTTCAAGAAGAAAAGCTATGCCCACGAACCAAAAAGCGAAAAATAGAAGATATAAGTGGTACGTATAGATTCTAATTTCATACATCTAAAAATTATTTTATTGACAAAAAGTCATTGTTCAAAGGAGGCTCAATTTCACACCACTTTGATAGTTGGAATAGCTTAACATCTGACCCTGAAATATTGGATATTGTTCAGGGTGCACATATACCGTTTGAGCATATGCCAAAACAAAGGCGCATTCCTTTTGACATTAATTTCTCTGATACAGAATCAAACATAATTGATCAGGAAAGCAAGAAACTCTTATCTAAAGGTATAATAGAAAAAGTTAATTACAAACAAGATGAATACATTTCAACAATATTTATTCGTGAAAAGAAAGATAAAACACACAGAATGATTTTGAATTTAAGAATACTCAATGATATGGTGGAATATCAGCATTTTAAAATGGAATGTCTTGGTTCCGCCTTAAAAATGGTGAAACAAAATTGTTGGATGAGTACTTTTGTGATGCTTATTATTCTTGTCCTATAGTAGTCGAACATAGAAAATATTTAAGATTTTTCTGGCGAAATGAAAGATATCAATACAAAGTGTTTCCTAATGGATTGGCTTGTTGTCCGAGAAAATTTAGCAAACTTCTTAAACCAGTGTACGCTAAACTTCGATTACTGGGTCATCTGTCTGTACCATACCTCGATGATTGTTATTTACAAGGGAACAGTTATGAGGAGTGTTTACTCAATGTCATAGATACGGTACAATTATTTGATGCTCTTGGGTTTGTAGTACATCCGACTAAATCCTTATTCAAGCCTGTACAGTGCATCACTTTCCTGGGAATTTTGATTGACTCGTCAGTATGACAGTGAGGTTAACTCCTAGTAAAATAGAGAAAGTAGAACTGGCCTGTAAAAAATTATTGAATGAAACTCAAATTACAATAAGAGATGTTTCTGTCATTTTAGGTTTAATGACATCCAGTTTCCCTGGAACTATATATGGGGTATTGTATTACAGAGATTTAGAAAATGAGAAAACTGTAGCTTTGAAACATAATAAAGGTAATTTCGAAGCATCTATAATTCTTGGATCACTAGCCAAAAAAGAATTAACTTGGTGGGTACAGTCATTGAAATCGGCATACAATGTTATTGATCACGGTTCCCCTGATGTTACTATTTATACTGATGCTAGCAAAAAAGGTTGGGGGGGGGGGGAGGGGGTGGGGGTGTACAGAATGACTGTTCTACCGGTGGAAACTGGACTGCAATTGAGAAAGATAACCATATTAATTATTTAGAATTATATGCAGTGTTACTGACATTAAGATCATTTAGATTAAAACATGTGAGAGTCATGATGGATAATACTACTGGCATTGCTTGTATCAATCACATGGGTACTAGTCACTCAAATTCGTGTAATAAAATTACAAAATTGATTTGGGAGTGGTGTATATTAAACAATGTTTGGCTTTCTGCAGCACACATTCTTGGAGTTGAAAATATTCTAGCGGACAGAGAAAGTAAACAAGATAGGCGAGAAAAAGAATGGAAATTAAATAGTGAATTTCTTAAAGGTGCTTTGAGGAAGCTACAGGTTTCTCCTGATCTTGATCTCTTTGCGTCGAGAATAAATACCCAATTCCCAAAATATGTGGCATATAGGCCTGATCCAAATGCCTTCGCTATTGATGCATTCTCCATTAGGTGGGGTAAAATTTTTTATATGTTTCCTCCTTTCAGTGTTCTGACACAAGCCCTCCAGAAGATAGAGAGGGAAAGGAGTACAGGTATAGTGGTGGCACCCTTTTGGACGACCCAGATCTGGTTTCCAATGTTGATTCGATTATTAGTGAACAGACCACTGGTATTACCAAAAGGGAGACAACTCTTGTTTTTACCTCAGGAACCAAACCTACCTCACCCCATGTTCAAAAAGCTACAACTTCTGGTTTGTCCGGCGATCCCTCAATAAAGCAAAGTTTTCAGAGCAGGCTAAAGACCTCATACTTAAAAGTTGGAGACCTGGGACTCAGTACAAAACCCATCTCGACAGATGGGACCGTTATTGTGAGCAGAGGGAAATTAATCCATTTAGTCCATCTTTAGAAGACGGTGTTAATTTCCTTGCAGAACTTTTCTCTACTGGACTTGGTTATAGTTCAATAAATACTGCTCAATGTGCGTTATCGTCAGTTACAACTTTTCAAAACGTCTGACTCTCAAAGTGGTGATGTTGTTAGCTGTATTGACTGGTCAAAGAGGACAAACAATTCATTTAGTTGATATCAATCATATGAAATTAACAGATTCTAGATGTGTTATCTTTAAAACATACACGACCTGGGTCTCATTTAGAACCAATCATTTTGAAAGCTTTTGCACCTGATAGAAGATTGTGCATTGTGACTTACATCAAGCATTATTTGGAAGTCACATCTGAATTAAGGGGTGACTGTAGTAAACTTTTTATAAGTTTTCAGAAACCTCACAAATGTGTTTCTAAAGACACAATTAGTAGGTGGATTAAAGTTGTACTCTCTCTGACTGGTATTGATACTGGAATTTTTCAGGCTCACAGTACACGTGCAGCTAGTACATCTAGTGCGAATTCCAAAGGTCTTAGTTTGGATATTATCTTGAAGGCTGCCGGATGGTCCAATGCTTTTTCAAAATATTATAGTAAAACAGTTTTAGAAAATGGAAACTTTGGAGATTCTGTACTCATATGAACTCATCTTAGGCTTGTGTTAGAGCAACTTGTGTTTCAGAGCTTTTTAGTTATTTGTTAATCTGATAATATGATTTGTTCAAATAATGTGTATTGCATTGATAATGTATGTTATGTAATTATTTTGAAACATATAGTATATGTTTTAGTTTTGCTTGTTTGTTCATGAACACATAGCGTTAAAATCTCACGTGACTACGTAGTGACGTAATCTATGACGAGGTAGAATTGAATAATTTAACGAGACTTACTTGTAAGTTGAAGTTTGATTGTGGTTCTCTCTAGAAAAAGGAATCATAGGTAAAGACGATTATAAAAATGTTTTGGATCATGCAATTTAAATACTGTTTTTTTAATAATAACATCTAAATCCTCGAAAATAAGATTAACCTTAAACTATGAATGTGAACTTGATTCAAATAAAAAATATGAATTAGGACTAAAATATTTTTCAGCTTATAATTCAATAAGAAATGTCAATAAAAAGAATAACCAATTGAAAATTTCAAAGACAATGGGAGATCATTTAAATTATTAACATTACCACCACCAGGTAGTTATGAGTATGTTTCCATCAACGAATTTATATCTGAATACGTTGTAAGTCACAAAGGAAAATCCAATATTGAATTCGAAATTTTAAATCTGAACAAAATAAAACTAGTTATAAAAGACAAACATAAAGTAGATTTGAACGTAGAAAACTCAATAAATGAATTATTAGGTTTTGAAAAGAAATTGTATAGCAAATCTACTCTTGCTCCTAATAAAGTTAATATTGAGAACGACGTCGATATCATCAACATTCATTGCAATTTGGTTGATGGAGTTTTTTTCAATAAAGACAAACAACAAATTATTTTCAGTATTCCTACGTTTACAGTTCCAATCGGGTATAGCATAGTAGAAAAACCATTTCAAACAACATATCTACCAATTAATTCAACAGGGATCAAAGAAATCAATTTAGATGTAAAAGACGGACGTGGAAGATATTTATATCTTGGTGAAGAAGAAATATGTATTCAATTACACGTTTCCTCATTTTCATCCAAAAGTATGTAATCGTAATCATCGAATTGATAATTTTCATCCATGTTACTTTCATTTTTATCATTATAGCGATACATTATTCCATATTTGTTTGGTGGTTTTCTTTTAATCAAATTCACATTATGCTTGAACACTTTCTTTTGTTTATATTTCGGAAGTACAACAACGTCTTTAAAACTTTTTTTCCAAGGTTTATCGAATTCGTTCTCAATGTCTTCTCCACTTGAAGATAATCAACTTAGTTTTTGTATCGTTTAAAAGTTTTCTTTTCCACTAATTCTTCGTTAGAAGTTAGAACAATATTGTATTTTACTTTCGGAACCAAATATAATACCTCCATCTCCATAATCATTCTTTCCATATTCCGTTTCAGAAGTTAAACCATATTCCATATTCCATATTCCATGTGTATGCTATCAGTATAGTATATTTCGGGTTTGACAAATCCATCAATAACGTGAATAAAATTAGTCATTATTTTTTTGCTATGTGCTAATATGAATGATCCTAAATGACTCGGAGTTAATTTCGTTGTTTTTGTTGGTTCAATAATTTCGGGTTGTTCTTTTTCTTTTTCCACTTGTATTGATAATCATTTACTTGTTCGAAACGAATTATATTTGAATAAAAATTTGCTTTATGAGTTTCTTCAGACCATAAATGAAATTCTGTATTTATTCTATCTGGACAGTTTTACCGTAAATAACAATTCCCAATAATTTCATGCAATTACTACCTACATTATTATCCTGTTGTTTGTATTCATTTCTTTTTTCCTTTAAAGTCAAAATATAGTCTTTGTAGACTACACCATCTAGTATTTTGATAATCCTTCCACCAGCTCGAACAATTTATTGTATGTCGACTGAAGTGAGAACGTGGTTACAAAATCCATTTCTAAATCTTATCTTGTCAACAGTTTTTGTTTTGGTTACATCGTCTTCTTTAACAGTATAACTTATTTTGTCTTTGGCTGGTATTGGCTGAAAAACACATTGTTTGGATGTTCAAACCAAACAGATAAAATAGCAAACCTTATTCTAAATTTTTCTTTATTAAAAATCTTTACGAATTCGCTCTTTTCGGATTGTTTGAAAGCTCTTACTGATTCAGCTTTTGGATATTCACCATCACACATAGCAGATGCATAAAGACCATTAGTGTCAAATGCCATTAATTTAGTGGACTGCGAAACTTTTCATCTCTTCGTGAAGACTCGATAGATCTTTTGTAGATTCTTTATATTTTTTAAGTAAGTCAATTAGAGTGTTTTCATCCGTCTCTAAATACTTTTGCAACAGTTAACATATTTAATTTAATTTATTCGAGCTGAATGTTTGTCGAAACTCTACCATCTATTACATAGCGTCTAACATAGTGTCTGATGAATGGATCTACGTGAGGACATACTTTTTCTCCTTTATATAAATAATACCAACCTTTAAGAGATAGAGAAGATGCTATTAAATTATTTATAATAGCTTGATTTATCATAGATTTCATAACTTGATTGTATTTAATCAAACATCCTGCTAAACATATAGTATCTTCTTTTAGCATAAATATCTAAGGCTCCCATTCTTCTATTCGAGATTCCCAATTCGTTTCGTTAAATTACGTGATATCTAAATCAATCATTCTTAAATTCATTGGTAATTCTGATGATTTTCCCCAATCTTTTAAACTGTTTCCTACATGTTGATAGGAACAGGTGAAATTTATTTTTTGAAAATATTTTTGTTGATAAATTTCTTTTCACTATTCCATTTTTTCTGTAAACTTGTTACTGTAAATACATTAGATATTGATAAACAAATTATGCCTCTACTGGTTTTGAGAAGACATTGACTTAATTTTGCCTTATTTTTTTAATAATAATCCAGTTATCAAAACCACTGCCGTTGTGAGAAATTAGAGTTAACTGTGTTTGATCGACGGAACATAAATGTTTTAACATTTGATCTATACAGTTTACTCCCAAAAAAATATGAACTCTTCGGGGATATTATCTGGTTTTAAGTCTGGATAAACTCCATTTATTCTTTCAAACATTTTTCGCAACTTTTCCAGATTAAACAAAGTACAAGCATATGGTGTTGTTTTACCAGTTTCTTCTGTGTAAGTTTCACAATCCCACGCATACTAAGTTTCAGGTTTTGGTCTTGGTGCATGGGTCGATAGATTGGATTCTGAAACAAGTTTGTAGTTTGTTCATTGCAAGATTTCCAATCTTGTTTGAAGCTATCTTCTATTTATTTTATTCCAAGAGTTGTTTCATTATAATTTTGAATCAAAGTTTGATTTCCATCATTGAATTTCCCAATTCGAGCTTGTGTCACTATTCCCTTTCTATTATGTATAGGAAAGGAATAATTAAATTCATTGATTTCCTGAGTCAAATCACGCTTTAAAACAAGATTGACACATTTAATAAAACATGTTCCGTCAGATGGAATGTAACAATGTTTTCCAATATATTCCTTGATACTAAAAAGCACTTTCTTTTCCTACTTTTGATCTTATGATTGGTTGAAAATGTTTTTACGAAATATTAAACGACCCGCAAAATACCAATCTGTATTATCTGATTTTTCGGATATGTTCTTGACGACTTTTTCAATCATTTTATCATTGAAAACGCTAATTGAAAATTTTGCTTAAATTTACCATCTTGAAAAATTTCTCCATTGATTTCAATTTGACCTTTAAAAGTATTAAATTTATCAATCATGTCACGAATCACGTAATCAAATAATTCATTTTCAATCTCTTCTTCAGATTTTGTCTCTTTAATAGATCTAAATTTAGGTGGTTTTCGTTTTATTACAAATTTAGGTGGTTTTCGTTTTATTACAAATTTAGGTGGTTTGCGCACTTGTTTGGTAGCTTTTAGCTGTTTAATTCGTGCTCCCATTTCATACTGATTTTTCTTTGGGTATTTTCCCATGATTTTTTGAAAATTTATCAATTTATCAAAAGAATCAATTTTAATTAGTAATTCATTTAATATTTCATTAAATTCTTCTAGTTTTTCTATTGTTATTATTTTGTCTGATTTACTTCTTTCAAAAAAGATAAATAATTTATCTAAATATGTTTTTATCAAATTTGTTTTTGTTTTACATTTCTTTTTAGGGGTATAGCCAATAGTAATTAATCCACACAAGGATGTTTGAACAGCTGTAAGATAACTGGAATAAATAACGGAAGGGATATACTTGCTGTTAGTGCAGTAGAGGTTGTTATAAGAATAGCTGATATAATACTTATGGTTTAAAAGTAGTGGCAATCTTACTCCAACGAGATTTTAATTTATCATAAAGTCATAACCTCTTGTGAATTTCGTGATGTTTCACTTTCGTAAGATTCTTCCTTTTCAGTAGTTTCCATTTTTTATGAATTAAATTAACTCTATTTCGATCACAGTCGTATAGTCACAAGGTAAAATGATCACAGTCGTATAGTCACAAGATAAAATGATCACAGTCGTATAGTCACAAGGTAAAATGATCACAGTCGTATAGTCACAAGGTAAAATGATCACAGTCGTATAGTCACAAGGTAAAATGATCACAGTCGTATAGTCACAAGGTAAAATGATCACAGTCGTATAGTCACAAGGTAAAATGATCACAGTCGTATAGTGACAAGGTAAAATGGTCACAGTCTCACAAGATAAAATGATCACAGTCGTATAGTCACAAGGTAAAATGATCACAGTCGTATAGTCACAAGGTAAAATGATCACAGTCGTATAGTCACAAGGTAAAATGATCACAGTCGCATAGTCACAAGGTAGGCCCGTTTCTAATACAATCTATTGCCTTAGTGTACTTCCGTGGCGATATCAGCGGCAAATATTAGCGACAATGGCACCAACCAACACCATCATTTGCATTATGATTGTGACATATTTACCTTGACCATATTTATTCGACCATTTTCCTTTTTGGCCATATTACTGTGACCAATTGACATTGTGACCTTTTTAATGATTTCTTGCAAATGATATAATAGTCCTACACAAATAACAAGAAAAGACGTAACATACCCTTGAATATCGTCCACGTGGACTTGTTGGTCGTCACCATTCCCTTACCATTAACATAACTTGGTGCTAAACAATAACAATCCTTTCCTTGATAATAAATCTGATCCCAGTTGTAGAGAGATGAACAAGTTGCTATACAGAGCATTACATTAGACCTTAATATCAAACTATAATAATTTAATGTCACAGGTCCTGTGAAGGTAAAATTTCCCCAGTAAGTTTTTCTCGTACAACACGACGATTTCCATACAAACATTGCTAAAATACAAAACCAAGAACCGTAGTCTGTAAACATTATGACAGCGACAAACCGCATTTGGTAATATACAAGCCAACTAAATTTCCGTACATCTCACTATGAGAGTTTGTTTACAAACAGTTCCGTCAGTTTGAAAATTAAAAAAATATAAAAAAGAGCACAATTCCTCGACTTTTACTCATTTTACTTGGCAACAAGTAGAAGATACTCTGAACTTTCATGTTTCATATGTAACATTCTTTGATTTTGGAATGAACTAATTACACTAACAATCAATAGACCACATTTATTTGTCACGGGATTGTGATCGGAGACAAAAACCTATTAGTCTCAGTGAAAGGCAAATACTGAAAGTCATTTATTATTCAATATTTATTTTCGCTTGGTTAATACAAAGTGGTTTTTAATAAAAAAAACTTCAAAGGGAGCCGCGGTTGCTCAGTGAGTTAGACGCTTGCTCGATAACCTGAAGGTCCAGGATTCAATCCCGGCATAGGTCGAGATAATAACTTCGGATTTTCAACCCAGTTCCCCCTGTCAGTGATGCAGGTGAGAGGGGCAGACATGGTTCTGCGTCTAGTCGTTCGGATGGGACAATAAACCGAGGCCCCGTGTGCCACAGGCTGTGCACGTTAAAGATCCCTCGACAGTTGGAAATTGAAAAGAGCAGGCTAATGCTACTGTCTTGGCAAAATTTCCCTCATTGTACCCTGCATGGCGTTGCCCGTCTTCAATAGTCCACATGGTGAAAAGAGAAAAGTAGGACGTAAAACTCCATTCATTTCATATATTTTTTTAAAAGTGTACTTCTGTCACCGACAGAATCGAAATACACCAATCATTTATTTTTTAAATCAGACGTCTGTGGATTTTGTAAGTCTAAAGATATTGAACAATCTGACATATTTCTCACTTTTTTAGAATTTTTTTATGCTTCCTTGATATTTTGTTCTGCACCTCGCGTCAAATGGACTTGATTCACAAGTGATGTACAATTTAGTGTGTCATCGGTCCTGAAGTCACAATTAGTCAAAGTCGTCAGTCGTATTTTATTCCCCAGTCGTCGTCGAGTTTTTTTTCCAACTATTTGAAAACCCCTATACATGTAATGGTCTAATGTACATATTGAGTTGATACGTATAATTGTTATTTAGCTATTGTGAACTATCGAATCTTTTTAAAAAGTTCATCGTGGTATTTTTTCTCTATCTTGTTCATTTGCTTGTGGATTTTATGAACTTATGATTAAATCTTAATTTTCCATTAACTGCTACGTATGCACACTGTTCTCCGCCGTGGATATTGTTTGGTTCACAAGAATTCCAAAATTCGTGTACAGTTCCACAGTTATCTAATCCAATTTAGTACCATTTAATGTTCTCGTTGTCTCCAATAAATACTAATGTGTTATCTGAAAAAAAAAACCCATAAGATTAAATTTTTTAAATTAAATGTTATTATGTTCGATTTAATTCTCGCCTGTTAGTTTTCAACCCCTGTATTTCTAAGCTTACAATTTCCGGAAGTAAATCTTTATCTGGTAAATAAATCAAGTATATAATTACACTCTTATCAATTTGTAAAGAATAATAGAAAAAAAGTATTACTGTAACCATAATACCTTGTGACCGTATTACTGTAACCATAATACCTTGTGACCGTATTACTGTAACCATAATACCTTGTGAACGTATTACTGTAACCATAATACCTTGTGACCGTATTACATGATACCTTGTGACCGTATTACTGTAACCATAATACCTTGTGACCGTATTACTGTAACCATAATACTTTGTGACCGTATGAATGTAACCATAATACTTTGTGATCGTATTACTGTAACCATAATACCTTATGACCGTATTACTGTAACCATAATACCTTGTGCCTGTATTACTGTAACCATAATACCATGTGTCTGTATTACTGTAACCATAATACCTTATGACCGTATTACTGTAAGCAAAATACCTTTTGCCTGTATTACTGTAACCATAATACCATGTGTCTGTATTACTGTAACCATAATACCTTACGACCGTATTACTGTAAGCAAAATACCTTGTGACCGCATTACTGTAACCATAATACCTTGTGAACGTATTACTGTAACCATAATACCTTATGACCGTATTACTGTAACCATAATACCTTGTGACCGTATTACTGTAACCATAATACCTTGTGACCATATTAATGTAACCATAATACCTTGTGACCGTATTACTGTAACCATAATACCTTGTGACCGTATTACTGTAACCAAAATACCTTGTGACCATATTACTGTAACCAAAATACCTTGTGACCGTAATACTGTAACCAAAATAGCTTGTGACCGTATTACTGTAACCAAAATACCTTGTGACCGTATTAGTGTGGCAGTTTGCTAACTTTTCATTATCAAAAACGCTGTAAATTATACCTGAAAATATTAAAAAAATATTATGCTATTTACATCTATGTAACTACTTGATTAAACTGAATTTGTTTCACAGGGTTTATTACATTTGGCTCGATATTATTAATATATATCTTTAGAATACGTAGGAGACATATTTCTATATGGTGTTTATTTTACTCAAATCCATATAATAGTTATCTTTCACCTACAAAAAAAGCATAACGAACTTAAAAGTTTATGTAAACTTACTTAATGTTTTGAAAACATGTAGGTAGTGAAAATTAACGGCTGGATCTTTTAGTGAAAACTTTTTACTAGAGCAGAGCAATATGACGATATTATCGAAAAAAAAGACGGTATGAGAATCAGACTGGACGATACGATATGACGATATTTTCGCGATATCAGAGATTTCTCACAGAGAGTAACTGCTGTCAAACAACCAGTTATGTCCCTGTTGCATAAGCTTAAGGTCATTTAAAAGGCACTGATTTTGGTAATAAAGTAAGACTAGCCTGCGCACTAGGCTTAATTTGGGGACAAGAAAACAGGTACGAATGAGCATGGTCTATATTTCAAGGAAAGGAATTGTTTTTGTTACAAATCTCCATAAATCGGGTAAAAGTTAATATATTTGGTCCTTATTTTTGTATGAAATGTTAAGTTCGCACCTCCGGTTAGTCTATATTGCATATCTTATACATTTATTTGTTATGTTATCAATTAATCCGAACCTGTCCAACCCTAGACTAGTATTCATGTGCCCACCAATTTTTCCACATTTGTAGAATTTAGAGTTAATTCATTGGGTGATTTCAAAGTTGGTGTTTTTATTAGTGTTAGGTGTCAGTGTCGGTGTTGGTGTCTATTCAAAGCCCCAAGCACCATGTCAAGTGTTAACGCCGGTTGACAACACCACGTGTCTATGAGTGGTGTTAAACCAAAGGCAAAAACACTAAGTCCAGGTCAGTAAACATCATGGCTGCCAACACCAACTTTGAAACCAATCTGGTGTTATGCCCTAGGGGCTGGGTGTTTGGACCTATAGAAAGTCCTGTAAATTTCACGCGAAAAAACACCAGCTTCGGTTAAGCTCAACACCCCGTGTTAAGATGGTGGCATGTTGACACTTAACACCAACTTTGAAATGGGGTTACACCAACACCACGTGTTAACACCAACACCGCAGCTTGATTACAAAGTTGGTGTGGAAATGGGTGTTAGTGTTGGTGTCGCTGTCGGTGTCAACACCAACACCAACTTTGAAACAGGGTTACACCAACACCAGGTGTTAACACCAACACCGTTGATTGATTACAAAGTTGGTGTAGAAACTGGTGTTAGTGTTGGGTTTAGTGTAAACACCTGGTGTTAACACCAACTTTGAAATCACCCATTGTCTTTTTAATAAGCTAAAGACGTGTATGTGTTTTTATTCAATATTTTTCAGATTTTGCAAGTTTGATTGAGTATTATGTAGACATTCAATAATTTTGATAACTGGCTGATTAATGAAGAGACTCCGTCAACTCCGTCACTTACGAACCCCGAACAACCCAGCTGTTACACTGAGCTCAAATAAACGTTAACCAACCTCATCTATATATTTTTAAATTCAGTCGGTAATTTTATGCTGATCAGTTTGGGAATTATATTTTATAAAATGGACCAAAATGGCTGTATAGAAACCGTTTATAAAATATGTAACATGACTCCTTCAAGGATTTCAACAACTTTCTACAACCCTGGCGCTATTGTGGCAAGTTGTGGCGGTTGACCAGAATTTGGAAAACTAACCTCTTTCATCCAATGACTCTGCTTCCTACGAAATTATTGGTTCTTCCGAAACTTCTTAAGTTCTTTACATGTTACAGAATCCCTCACACTCTTGTCTTTTTGTAAACACTAGAGTTTAATAAGGGAATGATATAATGTACATGATATACATAACAACGGGAATGCAACATTAGATAGATGGTTTCGAAAGACGAAAGTATAACTGTGTCAGATTGAGAATAACCCAACCTCACCAATGTGTCTTAGATCTTGAGTCTAATGCGCCAGTTTTCAAATATTTTTAAGCAGAAACAATAAACGAGATACTCAATCTGCTTGTGTTTCGGTGTATTTACCTGTGGTTATTTCCGGAAAATTTCTATGTCACGATATTTGAACCTATCGTGATAAAAAAATGTTTATATCGCGATACACAAAAAATCCCATATCGCCCAACTGTACCATGACACTGTTTAAGATATTTATTTCCATTCAGAAAATGAAACATATTCCATCAACCATCTAGTGCAGGATTTTATAGAGGATTCTGTCAAATTTATTGATGCATGATATGCTTGTTTGAGTAGACACGTTGCTCCTTTGAAGAAACTTTGAATGTGCACATTATTTCGGAGAGACTTAAGATGTGCTGTGTCTACATTGTCAAAGGTCGACCATTCGTATCATTGGCCTCAAATTCAAACTTAAATTCTTGAAAGAGATGTGACCCGGATCGAGCATTATTGTCGACTAAATGAATACTCACAAGCGTCCTCTGTTACCTTAATTTAAACCACTTGAGCCTGTCATTTAAAATTTGCTCCACCCTTTCCATTCAAATTTATTTCTTTTTTTTTCTTTTTTGGCAGAGCTATTATCATTTAAGATCTATAAGGTTCGGCTCATGGGAAACGTTATAGAGAAATAATCAAAGTTTTCTTCGATTATTGGAGTTAGTGAAACACCCAAATTTTGACAAATAATTGGTGAGAATATTTTTCTAAACTTTACTAAAAGTCTTGTTTTATGGTTTTTTTTCAGTGATTATTAAGCTTGTGTCACGTCTTGATACTTTCTGTATCTTATTTACATATTTAGCGAACTATTTAGAATGTGTCTTGGGTTTGTAAAATTGTAAGGTTTATCTTACCCTTAAAGATGAGTTTCCTTATTTTTAGTGTCAAATTAAGCAAACTATTTGATTAATTGGTGTTTCTAATGAATTATCATGTTTTTCTTAATCATATCATTATATTGCTTATAATTAAGAGTTTTATCCAATCATAAATGTCCATGTATGTACAGTCTGGATAAACAAAAAAACTTTTTAACCTTTCTTGATAGGTCACTCATTGGAATGCTACTGGTAATTTTTTCTGATTTAGCTAATTATGAATTAATCATGGATATTATGGACAAACTGGTATTTTTCCACGTCATTAGAGCACCTCTACTTCTATTCATATAAGCATTCATAAATGAAAATAAGGGAACCCATCTTTAAGGAAATCCTTAGCCAAAGATCATATTTAAGGATGTTGCATAGACTAAGAAATTCCTT